CCCCAAAACCCCAAAACCCCAAAACCCCAAAACCCCAAAACCCCTTTGAAGGGATTGGGGGTTGAAGAAATTTTAAGAGTTAAAAATTAGTACCGAAGTTATGTTGGGTTTGTTTGAGGATATACATTCCGTCTGGGATTTTTGAGTTTAGTTCGTTGAGAAATTGTAAGTGACGACAGTTTGGACCACATGCTTCGCTGTGGGGAATTCTATAAATAATGGAGCTAGATTTACCCCTTGTCATCAAAAACTGTGGAGAGTCTCTTTGCTCCTTTTTCATTATTGAAAAGTCTATCATGAATGCCTAGAATAAGATCAGACACAATATTACCTTTCTTTAACACCTTATTTATGATTGACTCATTATAAGCTTTAGTATCAGACTTGGTAGTTTTCTGTTTCCTCAGACGGTCCAACTTTTGATTATTCCCTCTAAAAATAGCAAAACAACATACTCTTCAATAAGCTCAGGATAAGATCCTCCACCTTTGCCTTCATTTATTCCCTTCTTAGCAAGTTTAATGTTGGTAAATCTGGCCTGGTCCCCAACCCTAATCTTCTTCATACTAGTCGACTTCTTCGGGGGCTTCTCTTTTGGTTTTAAACTCTTGTGTCTCTCTAAAGATAATTTCCAATAATCCTACTCCTAGTTTCATCTTGAATAGACCCTGTTAGCGAGTCATCCTTCCCAAACTCAGAGTTATTGTCACTAACTTGGAACTTTGATTCATAACCTTTCTTCTCCTTTCTGAAATCCCTGGCTTGGTAATTCGGCCTGGTATAGCTCTAGATGTCGGATTAGTGATAGTCAGTGAAGCAACCTACCGAATGCATGAAGTCTCTAATTCCTCCATCTGAAGTATCAGATATTCCATTAAAAGATTCTTGTTTATTTAGGACTCCCGCTTGGTGAAGTCTTATTCAGATGTTCATTGATAAGATCTTTGGTGGTTTTACTAGAAATTAAATACAAAATTACCTCTTAGATCCAGGAGTTCCTATATCCTCCAAATTGCCATCTCCTTTCTCAGTATTAGAAGATTTAGGATCAATTATTCTGATATCGAAGGGAGCTTGCTTTAATACATTACACATAGACCTCAAAAATTCTGGGTCTTTCTTCATAATCTCTTTAGTTTTAGCCATAATAAAATCAGGATCTTCTATTTTCTCCATTAGATTTCTCAACTCAGAGTCCTTTAAGAGCAATTTATCTTGAACTTCCTTTGCTTGAGCTTCTAGCTCATTAATTTGTCCCTGAAGCTTGTCTTTGATAAACTAAAATGACTGGAAATGTTACCTTTTCCTTCTCAAGATATTTCAGCCTGCCTTCATACAGTTGAGATTCCTTGACTAAAACTAAGGAGATTATTTACCGAGTTTAGTCTTGGCCATTTCCAGAGCCTCGCATTTCATCTCTGAAGAGAGAGCTTTAGCTCTCTCTTCCTCAACCTGATCTTGAGTTAAGTGAATCTTTTTGAGAAGGTTCTCGTGGTCGGTGTTCCTACAGAATAAGTTAGAGCCAATACATTTGGTTTATCCTCCGATCTTTGTCTCGGCTGTCTTGCTTGAGGTGCTCTATCATTTCGTCTATAAGGGATTAGTAGGGCTGAGATACTTAGTTCATCGACCATGTTGTTACTGGTCTGGACTTCTGCATCCACAGACTGGACATTCTTAATGATTCTGCTCAGAATGCTCTTAGCAGTCTTAAGCTGAGTTCCTTGCAATGTTTGAGTGAACTCGTTGATCAGGTTGAATTTCTCAACTTGGTCTTTCTCAAGGCCAAAGAAGCCATTCCCAATATTTGCCATTGTAAATGAGCGTAATATGTCCTTCAGCACTTCAGATGAGTTGTTCTCGCTCTCTATGAGATCGATCCCAGTCGTTAGGCTAATATGAGTGAGTTCACGAGATTTTGAGATGTTCATAGAGTCCTCACCAAGTTCATCATATGCATGACCAAGCTTGGTTATCAGCTTAGAGAGGTCAGTATTTGCTTCCTTTGATTTTTCAGCCTCGTATTTCTTAAGTCTCTCGTCAAATTGATTATTCATCCGGCAAATAATTTTATACTTCACGTCGAATTGCTTCAATTTGTTTTCATAAGTTGTATGAATTTCGCTAAGAAGACTCTCAACAGAGGAAATAATTGTTTCTAATGGCTTCAAGTTGTTATTTCAGCACTCCAGAGATGAGACTATGTACCTTATAACCCGCTTCAACTAAGTACTCTCCTCTCATCTTCAGTCCGTTATTGTTGAGATTTCTCAATTCTGGATTATTCGAGTAGCTATTAAACTGTGAATTAAAGCCTATAATTTAAGCATAATTTTATACTGATTGAGCTCTCTTTTTCGTCAAGCCACTTATCAATATTCCGTAAGTGCAATTTAAAATCCTGCATTTTCTGGCTTGACTCTTTAAAATGACTCCTTCTTGAGATACCACTGACACCTGCGGACATCAAGCGATCTTGGGATTTCCGTTCTCAGTCTGCATATGATCGGTTTTGTTCTCTTTCTGATTTATTTAGGGCTATCTTTTTAGCATCAATTAAAGCTTTTCTCATCCCATATCCGGTCTTTGAAGTACGGTTTTTAGGTTTATATCTAGTCATGATTTCACTAGTATTAATAAAATCTCTTCCTATAAGAGGGGTTATCAGATATTTTACCGAGAACCTGGCTTCCAATATCAACTGAGGCAATTTGGCTTTCAAAATTAACCAACTTGGACTTTTCAGTGCCAGATTCTTTGTCATTGATCTCAGTTTTATTCATTGTCCACTGCTGAGCTTTATTCTTATCAGAAGCTGCAGCCGCACGGCAAGCTCTGGTGCTTGGCCTAGTAAAGTTCCTTTTATGTCCAACCACCTATGGAAAGGTCAGAGAAAAGGTACCTTTAATTTTTGTGTCGTGTTCTTCCAGACTTTTCTGTTTGACGTTGAGTAAGTATGGTGTCTCTCCTATCATGTCTTAATATTATGGCTTACCTTCCGTTTCCTCAGTGAAGGGTTAGGATGACTTTTAGTGTAGAAAGGACTTGCAGCGATGCTCCTTCTCTTAGTATCTGTATTCAGTAGTGATTTCTTATACTTTGAATCGTAATCATTATAAGATTCTTCCTTCAGCGTTGCTATAATCTAGCATACAACAATTACTTTCTAACTTCTCAGAGACCAATGGTATTGTAACAGTGTTGCTGTTATGGATCTCATTGAATTCATCTTCCTAAAAAGTCTCAGAACTAGCCTACCTGGTCATGCTCGACGATTTCTGAGTCATTGCTCTGCTTCCAATTATCAAGCATGCAGAGCTCTGATTTATCGATTTTCTAAAGAGTTATTCCCATGTAAAATTTGAGTCATACTTCCTTATGCATTGAGTAATTTGTGGCGAGGATGTTCTTGAACATACTCATCTTTGGTTTATATTTGGTGAAGCCCCGTTTCTTCTTCAGTGTTAAGACTCCCTCCTTTGTTTTCTCCCTATAATTCTCTGACATTGTAGAAGCTATGTGTAAAATAATATATGAATTATTTTCTTAACATTAAGGGGTTTTGGGGTTTTGGGGTTTTGGGGTTTTGGGG